GATTAAAAGTAACTTTTTTATTGGAAAAAGATATATTGCTACTTAATTTTACTGTTTCTCATAATTACGACGAACCATACGGTACCATATGGTTATTATTTGGCAAGATTGGTTTGAAGAACATGCTAAACTATAAGTAACAGTAGAGAGTTAAAGGCTTTATAAAAAAGCTTAAGAGTTAGATTGTCAAATGATAAGTTGATAACTATGATCACTCTCGTGTACAAGCAACTGTCTAAAAATTTTCTTCACATACGCCACAAAAGCGTATCAATAGTAACGCTACCTTAGTATTAGGTTGAGCAAATAAGGAAGAAGATTAGGATCGTCATAAAGAATATCATTAAGAGAAATGCGTTTGCTACTACGAAATGCCGCTACAGTCGGTTCTGTGCTTCGTAGCCAAGCTCAACTTTTTGATAACTCCATGATGTGGAAGAAACCTACTAATTAAACGGTTATTAGGTTATTAACATTACCCATGTGCCCTAACCCTTTTCTTTTTTTTTTTTTTTATTCTATTTTAATTATTTTTTTTTTTTAAGATTGACATCAACGTCTTTTAAAGGAGGGATTCTTAAAAAATTTATTTTCTAACATTATTAGATCAAAAACTGATTGACGGGGCGAATCCATTTGAGATTGAGTATAACTATCGGATCACCTTTATATGGTAAGCCAAGAACGTTATAATCGTCATTCCGTCTACTTACTGCATTGCAATAAAATAATTTGCAGCTCTCTCCTTTAGAGTTATAAACGCAGATATTTCTCTCTGCTGGTTGCTGCTAGCACCCTTCGTTTTGTTTCCCGATGTTACGGACTCTTGATTGTCTGACACTGCTGCCTTATGTACTGTCAGATCTGAGTTAATATTGTTTTTCCATATCAATTTAGTTGTTGTCTTTGGCACATTCGGTACGTAGGACTCTCATTCTTTAACTCTGGTAGAGCCTTCGTTTTATGTTAATTGCTAATGGCTGTTTTTATCCCACTCCCTATTATTCTTAGTAATAATTCCTTCCCGACTAGATGACTTGATTTTAAGTTCTTTGTAAGCCTCTTGGAGGCTATTTTTAATGCATCCTTTGTTCTATTCTTTATTCCTTTTAGTTTGCCTCTCTTGTTGTGTGATCAACGTACATAATTTCTTTATTCTTAGCTTTTACATTATAAAAAAAGGATCTTGTGCTGTTTTTGCTCTTCACTTGCCTGGTTCGATCCACCCTCACATTCAACGTCTTCTTATTTTGCTTTAATTCTGCTTTACCAACATACCCTTATAGTAGATAACACTTCTTAGTCTCCCTCACTGTATGCTTCCAACTTTTAGCTATCACTTTTACTTATTCATATTATTTTTCCGTCACCTAAACTTACTTTTACATGGACTAGTAATTTTTTACGTTTAACCACAAAATCTTACTACGTCTATCCATTATGAATTTTTTCCATATGATATTACTGTATGGACTTTTTCGAATTTTGAAAACCACTCGAAAAGTATTTAATCTAAATAGAAGCATAACGGTAAAAGTAAAAAGAATAGAGCAAGCTTCCTTGATGAACCTAAAACAATAGCAATACTTTTAAATAAACTGAATTTTGAACTGTTATTAAGGAGGTTCGGGAGTATTATTCAAAGGGACGACGAAGTGGGAGTCCCCTCTGCCCTCGCAGCTTGGCCCCCTTTACCGCGCACCCCCTCTTGCACCCTACAAACTCAATATTTTCCTTACGTTGAACGTTTGCATTGTTTAAATGCACTATAACATGCCTCTAAATTTTGCTAACCAAATAATTAAACAATAATAAACTTTTAGGTAGGTTTTTTTCAATACCATTGCATTTTTTAAAAGTTTTGTCCATTGAAGTGAGACAAAAAGGTTACTTTCCACAAAAGCCTGTGTTAATCACATGATTTTTGTTTGTATAATTCTTTTAAAAATGACGTACATCAAATATTTAAAAAATTCATGTAAGTTCCATGTATTCTACACTATCAAGAAAACTATATTATTGTGATCTCTGCATTTTATTATTACTCCCGAACCTCCTTAAAGTCTTAAAAAATTTTGCTCTACTGTTACAATTTAACATCATTTTTTGAAAAAGCTTAAATTACAGGTCATTTTTTTTATCTTATCATGGAACCGTTGTAGAAAAGTTAAATAGCCTTTTATAAATCTGTTTAAAAAAAAATTTTTTTTCATTTATTGTTTACCAAATTTTTTTAAATCAAAGCAGAATTACTTTGACTACAATAAAAAAGCTTTTCATACTATTTCTATAGAGTTTGAATAACAAACATTCATATACTTAAATATTTTTTTAAAAATTCAAGAGAAATTTTTATGATAGAGTGTTTGCTTCTCATCTAGAAGCCTATGATTTGAGACACTACTCCGTCACTTACTTCTTCGTCATTCTGTGGTGTTTTTTATATGACCTAATTACTAGAATATCATATAAGTAGGCAACTGGTATAATGCCTTTACCATGGCATGCACATTTGCAGATAATAGTAAAAAACTACGATGTCTCAGAGGAGGGGGAGGGTGGAGGACTCTTNGAAATAAATCAGGTATTCAATTTTAAAAAAAAGTGAAAAGTTGATATGAAAAACAATTACAACAGCAATTTAAGTTAAAATTTAGTTATTTGGTCTGTACAGCAAATATAAGAATGTTTTTAGAACCATCATAACTTTTAAATAAAGAAATGGGTGACAAAACGATTTCTTGATACCAACCTCAATTTGCTTAAAAAACGCTTGCAGTTGTTCTAAACAGTAGCTTTAAGCTAGTAAGTGCGCAATTTTTATCCTGTACGTCAGGTGTCTGTGGATAATATCGTTGGCACAGTCATACTAAAGAGTCCTGTTGACGATCTTGTATAAAACCTTTTAGTCTCCTTTTTTTCCATACTTTACTTACGCTCTACTCAGTACTTTGTACCAATGACAAATGGGACTTGCTTAAGTATGTGAGTAATTTAACTAATTAAAAATCAGTTTATTCAAGAGTTCTTAACAGACTATATGCGTATTTTACAACGACCACAGTTTATATTATGCCATTACATTAAAGTGTAAGGACTCAAGAAAGCTTATACCAGATTTCAGATTATAATTAATAGCACAATGGCTTCTGCAAGTGAATTTGTCAAAAACTGTCTTGCACGCAAAAAGTTGAGCTGGCAGTAAGTATGGCTTGCTTGTCATCCATGCAAGTCAAGCATGGCAGCATTTTGTGTAGTTTACGTTTATGTAAATATTTTTAGAGCTATATAGTAAAATTGACTCTTTTTGATACCAATATATCCGTATTTAGAGAAGCTTTATTTTTCTGCATTTTTTATAAACTTCTTATTATGTGAACCAAAGGTTTAAAACATGAACTGACAGATGCTTTTTGCCATTCGTAAGAACCTACGTTGAATAACAAAATTTTAGCTTTCATTTACTCGGAAACTGTACTCTTGATGGCTCTAAAATTTTAACAAAATTCGTTTGAAAATGTGATAGTGGGTTTTAATATTTTATTTGTACTTTCTTACTATCTGTATTTTTGGGACCAAAAACTTCTTTAATGTAAAATATGGTTTTGAGAAAATAACTTTGGTATAAAGACAAAAATCTGCTAGATATACGTTTGAAGCTTTTAAAAAAATAGTATTAAGTATGAAAATTTTGAGACTTTTACATCAAGACAGTAATGTACAGTAAAAGAAAACAATAAATACATTTAATGAGGCACACAAAAATATGAAAGGAAAAACATGTGTTTGAAAAGGGAGAGAGACATGAAAATCCTTATTGTTGTAACACTAAATAAAAAGCTTTTTATTGTGAGACTTGAATATGGCGCTCTGTTTTTGCTTGGATATTTAAATAGTTTAAAATGATGATGTGAGTCTGTGTGAACTTAGTGTAGCTGCCTAGCTGTACCAGTTGTTCCTAGTCTATTTAAGAGCGCAAGTGTGCTTTAAATTGATCTTTTTCTAAGTTTTTTATTAGATCGTGTTTAGTTTGTTTGCAGTTTTCTTTACGATTGTTAAATATAATAAAGATAACTTTGTCTAAATGAACTGGTAAGTTTAATTAGAAATGAAGTGCTCTCTGTTATTTGCCCATTTCCATACTTACATACGTCTATTATAAATGTTGACAGTTTTGTATGAATAGAGTCAGAGTAGTTCAAATAAAAATCATATAGAAAATGACATTATTTAAAGAGTACAGATACGTTTTAATCTTTGTTTTTTTTATCAAAACATGCAAAAATACAGAAAAACTTGACTGGTAAATAAAAGTACAAAAATAGATATTGTCATGATAAGAATTGACGCAGTGTTTAAGACAAATAAAAGAGTTGAGATATTGGAGGATAACTACATAAATATAATAAAAAGTTCAAGCTATGGATGTTGAATATTTGACATAGTGAAATAAAGATTGGGAGCAGTAAAATGCAACTTAATTAGGTTCAAATTTTTTTAGATTCTGCTACTAAAATACCTACAAAAAAATTCTAAATAAGATATTAATGAAGTAAAAATAATAGTCACTTTATTCATTTTAATTAACCCTCATAAGATCAAAATGTAATGTCAGTTATTTGAGTGTAAAAGGTATTATAATTTAAAAAAACTTTAAAACCATGTATAAAATTGCTAACATTGCGTATGTCTTACATAAGGGATAGTGTGCATAGCGCGCTGGGGGTGACTTTATTACATATTTCTTTATTTCACTGTAGTATACTAATACTTCTGGAATATACATTGCAAAGTATCAGTCACACTAACTTAAGATAAAAAAAAAATTTTAAATCTTCTATCTGTACAAATCTTCCCTAAATAAAAATCATTTTATTAAAAGAAAAAAGTAGTAAATATTTATAGAAAAGAAAAAATTTTTTCACAAATGCTTATTTTTTTTTCAATTAAAGCATTTATTTGTGTCTAAAAACCAAGTAATAATATTTTCTACGTTACAGTTATGTATAAACGGAGAGTGCACTGGTTCGATTTGCTTGGAGTGGAATTTAACTGAGTGCTTCTTGACAAGCAATGGTGGACCCAAAAGCACTATTGACAAACGAAAATTGTGCGAGCTTGCTTGCCAAAATGGAACTGATGCTTCAACTTGTCAAAGTACCAGTGAATTTGCTCATTTAGTCAATCTGAGTAAAGGTGGAATCAGCTTAAGACCAGGCTCACCCTGCAACAACTTCCAAGGATACTGTGACGTATTTCTCAAGTGCCGGGATGTAGATGCTGAAGGTCCATTAGCTAAACTAAAAAATATGCTCTTTAACAAAAAAACTCTTGGAAACGTAAAGGAATGGATGATGGTTTGTACACTTAACTTTTTTTACTATTCTCTGAATAAAGTGGTTTTTGTAAACACGTTTTTTTGTTTTTAACTTTTTTGAAGTTATACTTCTGTAGGCGTGTTCTGCCCTACGGAGTAAATCAACGATTTAGTTTTTGTGACCTTGAGAAAAAGTGTAATAGAAGTGAATTTTGCTTGATTCTCCCCCTTCGCCCCACCCCTCTTGACGTACTTCCGGTCCCCAATACACCACACAACGTCATAGCACGACACCACGTCACATAACATCATCCCATTACACCACACCACACTACACATTTTGAATTTTATAATTTTTTCTGTTAACCAATATAAAAAAAAGAAGAAAAAAAGAAAAGAAAAAAAAACTAGTTCCCAAAGACAATAAAACCCCCGTCCTCTTGCACACTGGGCGAGCCCCTTACCCACTCTGCTATAAGTGGGCTGGACAATGGGTTGCTTTGTTTTATTTTACAGTTCCTAACCTATTGACTATGTGAACTATTTTCAATGTTGATTTTGTATTTACTGTGTATTTATTAATGTGGTTTCATTTTACATTAAATAAATAAGTTATTCATTAAAATATACTTTTTTGGTACATGTTTTTTTCAAAAATTTGGAA